GGGAGAGCAGGTGGGATGAGTCGGGAAGACGCACCACAACATTAACCACAGTTCAGGTGTGCGATTCCAGAGCGCAGTGACTCTAACGGACAGAAACGCACTCTGCGTCACAGAAAGGCACAGAAAGGACTTCAAATGTTCTCACCATGCAAAACGATCAGTGTTTGAAGCTGTAGATGTGTTTATCCCGATTTAAACATCACACAGGGCACCTGTACATCGAAACATCATGAATGTGTACAATTTTTATACTTTAACTTAAAAATAAATTTTAAAAAATTCCAGAACCAAAGGACATAAAGGGTAGTGATAAGCTCAGATGTCTTGGTTTTGTGCATGAGAATAACTTTTTAAATTTTCAGGATTTTTGAGGACTGGCTGTTAAATAGCTATTATCAAAGATTACATTAAAGCCGGGTGCAGTGGCACATGCCTGTAATCCTAGAACTCAGGAGGCTGAGGCAGGAGGATCGTTGGGGGTTCAAGACCAGCCTGGGCTACAAAGTCAGCTCAAGGCCAGCCTGGTCTGCATAGAGAGACCCTGTCTCAAAAAGACAAAAAAAAGAAATTACATTAGGTAAATACAGTTGCATAAATTATATTAAAGCAAATAGAATAATGTACAAACGCATCACTTCCTGTCTTCTGACAGTGTAGTACATTTTACAATGGTACTGTTATTCGTGCTTTGGAGATTTCTTATCCCAATTGCATCTGCAAGGCTCATCTGAATGGCTGTTGTTTTATCTTTGTCTTGCCCTGTAACAGATGAGAACACCAGTGGATATTCTATCAGAGGACCCCGGTTCACCAGTGACACGAAGGCGCTCTTGGCTGAATCAGAGCGTTAGCAAGTTTTTATTTGTGGTCTGATTTTGTCAAATCATGCTGGGATTGCAATGAGATAAGGATGGCAAGAGGAAGGAGGAAATGAAAAAGGAGGGGGAAGGGCGGATGAAGGCTGCTGTGGCTGTTCCGCGGGCAGACCCAGCAGCAGCCGAGTAGCGGACCTTTCGGGCCGTTTGCAGCCGTGGGCCTGACTCTCCGCTCAGAGTCCATTAAGGCCCCATTAAGTCAGTGAAAACGGACCACAGGAAGACACAAAGTTTTTAGTTCTCAAAATACTCAGGAAAAGATGATCCTAAATACATCCAGAGAGGAAAGCAAAATGGAACAAAAACAAAAGCCAAAACCTTTTAGGCGCCTGAAGGACAGGAGGATGAGGAAGTAGTGCTTCAACACTCTGAGAGAAACGATGTCTAGCCGGAAAGAGTGTAAGACAGAACAAAGGAGCTCCGCACCAAAGCCTTCCGGAAGCTTTTGCAAAGCATGCTCCTCCAGGCGGGGCACTGGCTTCGGGGGGAAGGTGTGCGGCTGAGACCCGGGAAGGGCGAGCCTGCGCCAGCCCAGGAACCCAGGCCCGACCTGGTCTTGCCCTGTTGTGAGATACATTTCCAGAGCCCTCCCCCACTGGTTTTAAGAAGATACTTACCTTTGAAAAACATTTAAATCAAACTTTGGGTTTGGTTCCATCAAAAAATGTTTCACCCCGGTTTTCCAGTCCACGCCTAGGGTGTTCCTCAGGCGTCAGACAGGACTGCTGGGGAGCGTGGAGGGGACTGAGGGGACCAGGAGAGCAGGGCACCGGGCCCACTGCCAGGCAAAGACGTGCAGTGAGCACTGCAGTGTTTCTTGGCCTCTGTGAACCAAGCTGAGTGCCAAGGGCTTGCAAAACTGGCAAATGCCACCCACATCACACCCAGCAGGCCTGTGGCCTCCGCCCGCCCACCCTGGAGCCGCGGATGCTGTGAGGCAGCACCTGAGCGCTGCGGGTTCCCCACCTTGCGCAGTGCCCCCTGGATGCCAACCCCCACCCCCCAGTGTGGTTATCAGAGGAATTCATTGATGAGTGCCTTTTGTCCCGTGACTGGAAATTCACTGCAGTGACCCAAAGTCAAATTCCCAGGCCACCGTCATCCACGTACACCTCAGGATAAACACCACGTCTTACTGCCTTCAAAACACCAGTGGAATTTTCCACTGACATCATTAGCTGGTCACGGCTCTCCTGCCTGATGGCTTCTCCTGCTCTATGTAGCACAGCAGAAAATGTGTCCACAGAACGATGGCAGCTGGCCACTCGTGCTTCTAAACACCCAGCTTCCCTGTCTAAACCGTGGAAAGAAATACAACTTAAAACAACAGGAAAGCTCCCTCTGTGGTAGGCGTCAGGAAGGCAGAAATGAAGCAAAACGCTCCCTGAGGCTTCCGGTCTCCTTGGAGGACAGAACCTTGTAAATTAAATGTTAGGGAACATGAAGAAAACCTGTCTCCTCTTTTTAATGTTTAAAAAGTAACAAGCTGGTAAATGCAAGTTGCATTTATAGTCCTGTCTTGGGACAGATTTATAATCTTAGAGCAGTAACTATACATTACACTTCGTGTCTCCAGGCAGCCAGTTTGGTAGACTGCAGCCACCAGAGGAAAGGCGACATTTATGAACTGTAATGGCTTATTACCAGCCCGGCCCATGCACGCCAGCTCGGCGTCCACTCCCGGCACATTATCTTGTTAAGGCTGAAATGTGGCCCGAAGGGATACATTTGCACATGCTGCAGTGCATAAAGAGTTGGGATAAAATTACCCTCTCCATCACTTATGTGGATTTATAGAAGCGTGAGCAACTTGCATGTGTAATTAACCACCAGATAGGATCATTTTAGAAAATACATCAATTTTCAAGGGAGCTGTTTATGATCATACAACTAAAAAATTATAAACATCTAATTCCTGAAAACTTCTAGAAATGAAAGTTCTCAGCCCTAGAGGGCAGGAGAGTGATCGGATGAGCTGGTTTCAAATGCAGCCCTAGAGTTGACCCTCACTGTGCATGGGTATAGTGTGGAATCTGTGGATTTGCTGTATTACCTGGTCTAGGTAATTCTGATGTAGCAATGTCTGCTCTATGGGAAATCCTGCTGTTGAATCTCCAGTTTACTCAGGGGGGGGGGGAGGGACACAAGTGGAAGGTAAACACAATTATCTACCATAGTGAGAATTCACTTCCTAGAACCAACCACTTAACAAATGTTTCCAAACTGAATATTGCTAAGAGATCATTTCTGTTCCGATATATTTCTTGCTGTCACACTATAAGGTTTTTATGACCTCAATAGTATAATCCTAAGTACCAGTTCCCTGAGCTCCGTGACAATAAAGATGATATGGTGGGACAGTCAAAAGTTGTTGTTAGTGAATGTAAAGTCTATAATTGTCACTACTTCGAAAGCCATCAGAGAAACTGAGGCGCTCCTAGTGAAATCATGTCACCCAGTTTCAGCTTTGGCACCCTCTAGAAAGAGGTTCTCAAAAGCTGGGCGTGGTGGTACACTCCTGTAATCCCAGCACTTGGGAGGCTGAGGCTGGAGGATTGTTACAAGTTTGAGAGCAGCCTGGGTGACAAAGTGAGCCCGAGGCCAGCCTGAACTGCACAGCGAGACCCTGTCTCAAAAAAAAAAGAAAAGAATGAAACAGGTATTCAGCACATCTGCTTGCTGGACCTCCTGCAAACCAGTAACAAGTAGTTAACTCTCTAAATTCCATTGTCATAAACTCAGGGCTATGTTGTAATTTCCTTCACAGTTATATTCAAGTGTTCAGAATTTAAAAGACACAATATTTTTGCATTTTGCAGTATCAAGTTTTCATTTTGGAAAATTATCAAGAACACAATGAAAAAAAGAAAGATCACAGTTCTAGTAAATCTGACAAAAATAAAGGCTATTTCAATTTCAAAAGCATGAATGCAGTTTGTTTTGGGGACGAGGAAAAGAGAATACTATAAATAGGAAGTGCTCGTCCTGCTCAGGGAAGACACTGCAGCCACAGCAACTGTGAGCACCCTCGTGCGGCTGCAGGCCCCGACACAGGGACTTGGTGGCCTTGCCAAGCAAAGGCGAGGCACTGAGGACCACAGTGGGAGTGGCGGGTCCCACTTCACCTGCCAGTCACTGCGTTCAACACTCAAATTCAGCACCTGCAGCTACATATGCTAAGGCAACATCTGCAATGCTCCAGTGCCCAGGGTTTAAAAAATCAGAGCATGCTGCTGAAAATGCAGCTGCAAAATTATTTGCTCTATACATCTTATTACAGATCTGGCTCTGACTTTTGACCCTTTAATTTGAATTTCATACAAACACAGTTCCTTTATTAAAAGCTTTAATGGAAAAACTACTTTTGGCCTGGGGATGTAGCTCAATGCCAGAGCATTTGTCTAATATGTATGTGGCCTGGATTCCATCTCAAGCACTGCAAAATAAACAAAACCTCTCCAGTAATTACAAATATATTAACTCATTGCTAGAGACGGCCGGCACATCAACAGTAGTACTGGTCCCTGGTTCAAGATAAAAGTCTAGGACCAATTCTGGTTTGAATCTGCATCCGTGCTGGAAATATATACTATTTCCTTGTGCTGTAGGAGAACTAAAAAGAAAGTAAAATGTGCACATAAGAAAAAAATCTTTATAAATCAAATGTTTACATCACATGGGACAGATTACGAATTAGAAAACTGGTTGCTTACTGTAAAATTATGTCATTCTTAAAACAATCTGTAATTATTTATCACCAAAAACCCATCAAAATTATGTGGTAAATTTGTATCTTTATTCCAAAATGCTTTACATACCCAAAACCTATTATTTGTCCACATGGTCTGACAGTTGCCCTCTCCTGCTTACGGAAGCTAATGAAGACAGTCTAGCTATGCCACAAGCACTGACACTTATGGAAAGTACACATCAGCCAAGGTGAAGCCTCGCCTGCGCAGGCTGTGGGCTGACACTGTCCACCTCCTGAAGGCCGCAGTCCAAGGACCCCACACCTGCACATGCACAGCTCTCAGTTTTCCCTTCAAACTCACAAAGACCAGACCAACAGAGACACCCTGGAGAACCCAAAGGGGAACTCCTGACAAAGGACAAAAGCACAACAAATTTACCATCTCAACTGGCTTTATTTTTGCAGACTTCCGTAACACTTTATAAGATAGAGTAAGTCTTCTGATGCAATGAGCAGAAGAGGTTAGTTTTACAGACTGAGGCAGAGTGAAAATACAGCAGAAACAAAAGCACATGGATCCTTTCGACACTGGAGACAGGATAGAAAATAACTGGCTGGTTACCAACAGGGTGCTTTCTGGCAAGGATTAAGACAGAGAATGGCACTGCCATGCTAACTCAAAGTGGCCCGTTTGGGAATTCTGGCCTTAACTCTTTCTCTTCTGATTTCTTAGGTCAGGTAACAGTCTCAGGTTGGTGATGTGGAATTTTAGCACGGGTGACTCTATTCTGATTTTAGTCTGGTCTGTTGGGGTCCAGTGCAGGAGCCTCATCCAAACAAAGGCCTCCTGTCATTCTTACTTAATTACAATCTAATTTAAACCCATTGTAAGCTGTCATAGTGACAAACTACAGGCAACCCCGCAGTCACCTCCTTACGTTTGTCTTGTCATCTTGTCTGAAGGTTTATAAGCTTTAAAAAGTGATCCTTTCATTCATCAGTGAAGCGGTGTTAGCATTCAAAGACAAAATGGAAAGTCTTTGAAAGCTGCTGCAGACGACTACCCTACTGCAGGAATGAGCGTTAGGAAGTCAACGTGAACTCATTCATACTGATTGTAATATAATTAGTGTACAGTAAAATTACACTAACTATAGTATACATTATAGTACACATGGTGCTATATAGTACTATAGTATATACAGTATAATTACCCTAATTATGGTGTAATTAGCATATGTAGTATAATTAGTATAGTACGGGATTATGTTTAGTCGTTCCATATTTTTCAAGCTCCCTCACAGTAAAACAGAAAGCCGCTGTACACCCTTGACCAAGCATACAGAGGGAAAACGACACATCTAAACTCTGCTGATTCCAAGAATTTCTGTGTTTCTGCCATTTAAATCATAAAAGGCAGGATCCGCTTTTTTTGACTTAGAGCAAATCAGTATGATCAATTTCAAAACATTAGTTTCAAAGTATTCTAGAGACCTAAAGTAAACTAAAAGGGAAAGGTGGAAAAATAAGAATAAATGTTGTCTAAGTTTTAAAAATAAATGCATCAAAATTCCCAGTGGTGAATGACTGATTTCCTCCTCAATGGTAATTCTTTCGACAGAAAAGATTGACCCTTCTCTTCACATTCAATTTGTGCTTCCTTCATACTGCACACATTATTAAAAAGAAAGCTCGGTAAAAAGATATGAAAAAATAAAGTTTACTGTTTACTTCTGTTACACAGAACTCCGGAGTTCGCCAGGACATCTCAGCCTGCCGCCTGCAGCCTTCCGCCGGCGGGCTCAGGAGTCCAGCTCAGGGTCCGGTCTCTCCACCTTGATGGCGACCTCGGGGGCCAAGGCCGCCGCGGGGGCGGCCGGCGGGGTGCCAGCCTCTGACTCGGACAGCACCTCCTCCTTTACCCTCGTGGGCTTGGCCCCCGCCTCCTCCTCCTCGTCGGAAGACTCGTCCAGCTCCCACTCGTCATCGATGTCCATTTCAAATACTCTCACGTGGCGGAGATTTGAACTTAACTAGAGAGAAAGGCCATAAGAGGAATTTTTCATTAATGACTTAACAAACTAATGACTTACATTTTATATAACAACTCAGAAGTTTGAAGCAAAGAATGTTTTAATAGTGATATCACCACTAATTTACAGTAAAACCACTAAACTCAGTCTTCACTTTACGTAAAGGATTTCCACATACGCAGCAGCAATCTCACAAGTACTACAACCCAGAATTATTCTTTCCACTTTGTAAGCTTATTCAGAACCAGAGAACTACACAGCTAAGGCTCATGAGCAAGATAAATTATAAACCACGAAACGTCTCAGAGAAAGGGCCTTCTGTACATGTCTCTTCCTGCTGTCCCTCTTGGTGGACACTCTGTAAGCACTCACCACACAGGACACTTTTCGAAAACCATTCCCAGCCACATACTGAGCTTTCATGCTTTCCAGTAACCTCCAGTGCTTCTCAAAATGCATGGTACGTGTGGGAATCACACTGCACTGCTCATCCAGCCTAGAGGGAGAAGGAAACCAGTGTCGGAGTCAAAGGCGATCTGCTCCCCAGATTCCTAGCAGTGGGATCCAGCAATGAGCATGTTTCTACTGCCAACGCTACTCTAGCAGCCACGGTAGAGAAAAGGTGGGATACAGTATTCTATAAAAACACTCTAAAGAGGAAGAGCATCATGTCAGTAAGCTTTTCATTACCTTTTAAAGAAAGCAAATGGCTACGTTTTTAAATTAGAGAAGAAATCTAGTAACTTATTACTTAGTCAACTAAAGCCACCTCTTGGAATTGGCTTGTGCTTTCTGTATGGTTACTGAGGCTGTAATTCAGAGAAATACTAAATAGAAAATAATTAATTCAACTGCAAAGTAGGATAAAGCTATGCTTAAAAGTTTAACTCTAAAGAAGCCTATTCTCCATTCCAAGTAATTCCCCATTTTGTTCAAGCTAACACTTTTGGATTTACCATTATTAAGGCAGCATTTTTTTTGAATAAAAATATTTCTGATTGGATGGCTCTACAGTTACAAGTACCTACAAAACCATCACTGAGCATATTTAAAAATGAGGATCCTTGATGCGTGTTAGACACACTAAGTGTTACAGCAGGCCATCTAACTCACAGGTCTTTACCTTCTGGAGTACGTTCCAGCGAACTGGTACTCTGCAGAGTCTTCACTGCCGTACACTGAGGACAGCGGCAACTGCACCAGGAGCCTGTCTCTCCCTTCACGTCCTAAGGTGTCTTTAAGAACGACTGTCACCGTTTCATCATCATAGAACTGGGCATCCAGACAGCTGTAGGTGCTATAAGTGACAGAAGTTTTGTCACTCAAAAATGATCGTGCCTGCTTTTAGTTGTGAATAACTAGCACAAACTAATGGTATGTTTTAGTTATTGTAGAGAATGCACCTAATTTTTAAAATTACTTTTTTAAAAATAGGTATGCATGAAAAAAGAGCTTGGTGGAGCTGGTTCAGATCTAGGTAACTCCTGACAACAGCTGCAAAGTCAAGGCTGTGAGAATTTCGTAAGTGACACCACATACATATGCTGGGTGGACAGCGTTAGCCTGAATGGGAAGTAAAAATAAGATTTCACACACGAAAAAGATACAACTCCTCCAAGGGTTAGCATTTAAAAAAAAAAAAAAAAAAAAAAACTTAGAGGCTGGGCATAGTGACGCATGTCTGTAATTCCAGCAGTTGGGAGACTGAGGAGGTTCACTGCAAATTCAGGTCAGCGTGGTCTACAAAGTGAGTTTAAGACCAGCCTGAACCCCAAAGTGAACCTTGTCTCAACAAGACCAAATAAAAAAGGTCTCCCATGTAAGGAAGAAGAGTGAAATCAGCCTTTTGCATCAGCTGCTCCCTGCAAGGCCTGGTAGACAGCTTAGGCCTGCCACCCTTTCGCATGCCAAGAAAACACCAGATCGGTGAGAACACAGCTCTTCATTGTTTTGGGTACCAGAACTTCAGCCCTGCCTTCCAGAGCCACATTACTTTCTTAGCAGACACTGAGCTTGGAAGAATTAATTGTAGGAAAAATCACCACATAAACTCCTGCAGGGCAATGACGTTCCATTCAATCCCATTCATAAGGCAAAGGGTTGTCTATGTATAAAACACAGAGGCCCCTGCCGCTCTGCTGTACGTGGCAGGGCCCTTTACCCAGCCCACCCTGTGAGTCTGACCGCATTAACTGTACGCATGCACACATACACACACATATAACATACACATAGCACACACGTCTCTTTATGTCACCCACACAAGGGTCAAGACTTACCTCCTTCTGACTTTTTCAGTTGTGGCATATGTGAAACTCCCAAATTTAACAGCAATCAGTCCATTACTGACAGATCTTGAAGAAAGGAAGAAAGAGGCTGTGGAACAACCTGGACAGCTAACAATCTAAATTTTTGAAAGAACAGGATTGGCAGTGCGAGTACCCTAAACTGAGCATCAGATTCCAGCCCACAATGCCACTATTCTCACCCTAGAAACTGGTACCAGTTCAAACAGCCAGATAAGTCCCACATGCAGCTTAGAATCTCACAGTTCCAAAGCGGCTACTATAACAAGGACGTTAGGACAGCCAAATCGTCTCTCCTTGGCTGCATCCCAGTCTTAGTTAATTCCACCGAGATCCTAATGGTCTCCTAAATATGACTGACCTTTCACAACTTTGACTTTGGATTCGCAAAATAAGCCTGTGTGGGCGCACTCTCCTGTTTAATGAAAAGCATACAACTCAAGCTGAAGATCCTCTCTGTGAAGTACCTTCATACAGTTTTGAACTTCTAAAAGTCCAAGAGACATAATCTTGACTGCCATCATTTTCCCTAAGCATCCCTACCCTGCAAACTCCTACATACAATAGCTGTTACCAATAAAATACCGACAAATTTAGAACAAGGGATAAGTGATATCACAACTTTTTAACTTAGCCTTCTCATTTTGATGTGAAACTGAGACAGAGAACAGTCAAATGACAAAGTCAAAAGGTATTTAATTAAAAACTGAGATACGGTATGTTTTATTATTAAACATAACACATTCTTATCTCAATTCAAACTTCAAATTAATACTTACTGGGAAATATCAGTATGTCTTCTTAAGATGCACATTTTATAAAGTGAATCTTCCAAAATAGTAAAAAGAAGATAATGCAAGTTTGAAGCTTTATTATTCCACCTAAGGAAAAACATGTATTGTTATCATGTGGTATTTAGGTGACTAAGCTTAAGATAAAAGTGTATTGCTCATGCAAGATAAGGGTTTCGTACACTTACAGAAAAGGAAATTTGAACAATCTACGTGTGGAATCCTCACTGAAACAAAAAGGAAAAAAAGTGAGGAAAAAGTTAAATTGGCTGCTAAATTATGCTACTCAACAGATACACAGTTACCTTCTAGCATCTCTATATAATGGAATGCAGATTGCTTGATTCATCGATTTTCCAATTACATCCTATATAAAATAAGATTTAAAAATACAATTACAGGGGCTGGAGACGTAGCTCAGTGGTAGATACACAGCATGCATGAGGCCTTAGGTTTCATCCTCAGGACCACAAAAATAAAATAACATAATTAAAGCACTAACATGAACAGGGTTTGCTACAGCAAGTGTTACCATCACTGTCTGGGTGTAGCAAAACATCACCCACAGTGCCCAGAGTTGCACACCGGACAACAGCAGGGGGCGGGCTGGCTCCCTCCCACCTCACAACCACTCACTCAAGTCCTCCAGGAACACACAGACACACCAGCTCCGAATTCGAGTCAGTCAGATTGATGCGCTCCCGGAACAAATAAAACACGACAGATACCAACTAACCTAGCTTTTAAATTTATCTAAGAAGTTAACAAGATGGGTAAGATTGAGCCATCTGAAACTGATATTTCTGATAGTCAAATACAGTTGAGTATCAGCATTTTCATAGTTCATCCTAATAATTATGATCGTTTACTTAAGCAAGCCACATAGAGTAGATATGCTCGCTGCCACATACAGACATGCATTTCTTGAACGAAGTTTGAATACTTACTGCTGGCTTTTGCAAACAGTGATCAATAATGTTCTCCATCCGTCTTTTCACAAAATGCAATGATTTTCGAGGATAATAAGGAAACAGCAAAGGGCTTTCTAATTTCAAACAAAAACAGAAAACAAACAAACAAACAAAAAGATATAGCAAACCATGATTAAGATAAAAAAATCTCCCACGCCCAGTGGGATTCTCATGCACCTCATCCTTTCACCTTCCATCAACCCCAGCACCACCAGCCCACTAAAACCATCAACCTTAGTACCAGCTCAGTTCTACCAAGATCCAACAGTGGCTTCTGCTGGCTCTAAGAAAGCATGTTTCAGGAACTGGAAGCTACGTAATGAAATAAAGTTCATTCACCTCCATTCTCTGCCACAATGGCACGGCAATGGCAGGCAGTACTAAAACAAACAACAGACAGGAAACTAGCCCTAACTAAACGATCTCTTTATCAGTAGAAAGTGATGCATGACATCACTTGCCAATTCCTACTCCTCGAGGTTCTTTTTGTATCTGTTACTTCTGTTGCTTACAATACCATATAAAGCAAGCATCATATTCTTTGTCTGTACCGGGAATCAAACTCAGGGCCGTGAGCTTGCCAGGTAGGTCCTTGGACCTCTGAGCTACAGTCCCAGTCCATATTCTCCAATTTACAGGTGAAAAAAACAAAAAGGCTGAGAAAACTGCCCGGTGAAAATAAGTATCCAGAGCTAGGACTTGACCCCAGTCTGACTCTGAAGCTAGCCTCTTCCACGGTTCCGATGGCCTGCCCTGTACACAGCATCTCAGGCCCCGCCGTGCTGCACAAAATGAATTTCTCTCATGTAAGCATCTGAATCTCCCAACAGTGACAGCTGTTGTGGTCTCATGGCCTTTGTCCCTAGTTCCTGGAAAGGGTTTCTAAAACCCTTGGTCCATTCCCTGTGGTACTGCAACAAAGCTCTGGTATTTCCTAGGTGCCAAGTGTGGTGGGAGGTCTTGTTTTAATAAGACAACTCTGTCAAGCTCTGGGACAGCCTTGGAATTTGCAATGGTTCCAGGAAAACCAAGTACAAATCAGGTCCTCTTTCCAACTCTGCAGGCATAGGGGCCTGAATGTTGTGTTCAACCACCAACAACTGATGACTTAACCAGTTCTGGCTATGTGATGCTCCATAAACCTCCAAATGGGGTTTCAAGAATTCCTTGTTGGTGAATATAGTGGGGCGGGGAAGGCATGGAAACTTGGCCTCTCCCTCCATGCCTATCCCAGGCATCTCTAAGTGGCTGCTCCTGAGTTCAGTTTGCTGTCATAAACCAACCGGGACATCTGAGTGCTTCCCCGAGTTCTATGAGCCATTCCAGCGAACCACCAAGCTGGAGAGGAGCAGCCAAGTCAGACACAGGTGCAGTGACACGGGGACCTGGTGCTGAGGAGGGCAAGGTAGTGGAACTGAGCCCCACTGACAGGCCTGGGGGTCTGAAGGTGACTCAGGTTGTCAGATCTGAACTTAAGTGCACACATTCAATTGGTATCATGATTGGCCAGTGTCAGAAGGGGGTAACATCTTACTTAGGGTCAGCATAGGGAATTTATCAAAGCACTGTAAATTTCAGAATGTTTTTCTGTCTGCCATGGTTAATGTCATACCCTATTTCTTACTTTACTGTTCCTCTAGTCAAACAAAAAGTACCTCTGAAGAACTTAAGCAAGTATTCAGCAAGTACATGCCATGCTGTTCCCTTATGTGCTGAAGACCTGGTCTCAAACATCAACGTAGCTAAGTCTACCTGGTTCATGAAATACCTTTAAGATGGCTGCTATTTTGGAGAAAGTCATACCACTGGTTTCCTTCTGTGTTAGGGGGTGACACAAGATCATCATCTTCGTCTTTCAAGTACTAGAAATACAAAAACAATACTTAAATTTAGGAAAGATTTAGGTTCCCCAAACGATTTCTGACACTTTCTTATTCAGTAAGTTATTTTGTTTTACTTCGAAGTCCTCTGAAAGGACATTACCATTCTAAAAGCAGTCACCACATTCCACAAAGTGCCAGCAACCAAATGAACTGCAATGATGAAGAAGATGAGAAGGAGGGGATGCTGAGTTCAAATTCTGTCTCATTTTCATCTGCGTATTTCCATCTCTTCTGGGGAAGAAGTGGACATTGGGACACTGGGACACTGACTTTCACACCAAGCTACTTCTTAAAATTTTGACACAGGGTCGAAGTCACCAAGTTGCCCAGGCTGGGATCAAACTTGCAATCTTCCCGCCTCAGTCAGGCAGAGTGCAGGACTCACAGAACTGCACACCACACTGGGCTAACCCTACACACGGAAATTATGGCTGAGTCTTACAGGTACTGACTGTCAGCCAATTCTACGGGAGCTGTTCTCAGAGTGTGGTCACAGACCTCGGGGGCCCCCGGGTTCTCTCAGGGTCCATACACTTCATAATCAAGCTGACATGTCGCTTGTCCTTTACTGTGCTGACATTTGATGACGAATGGAAAACTGCCGTGCTTTCACCAAACGTCAAGGTCCTGGCCCTGCGTGGCACTGGCAGTCTTTGTATTCTTTTCTGTCACGTTCTCGGTTTCACTAAACTTTGACAGGACTATAATTATTATTGTTGCTGTTCGTTTGGTTTTTTTCTGAGACAGGATCTTGCTATGCAGTTCAGGCTGGCCTTGAACTCACTATGTTGCCCAAGTAGACCTTGACTTTGCGGTGAATCTCTTGCCTCGGCCTCCTAAATGCTGAGATTACAGGTGTGCACCAACACGCCTGGCTGAGAGCTACTAAACTATTAATTTTATTAAATCTCAGCTCTTAAGTATTAACCAATATTCTGTGGGCCAGAATTAGAAGATATGTATTAGATACTTTTGCTGTATACCACAGTATAAAAGTTATCTTGAGGAAAAGCACTTAGAAAATAGTCATAGTTGTAAGTTAACAGTTTTAAAAAATGGAGCTCCATTTTGTTACTTGAAAAATGACTGGGAACAAACTATGATTAATTCACACTTGGGTGTATTTGGCAGATATTTTTTTGAATATAAATATAGTAAGCCTGTCACTCTGAGCAAAACAACTGACAGTATTTATTGCCAATGATAAAATTTAAACTTTCAAGCAGAAATTAAAATTATAAACTCTATATTTGCCACTGTGTGTCTGACAGCTTCACAGCACTGGAAAACTTTTTTGATTCAGCTGGTGCTGACATTAATGCAATCTGATTTCTGGATACTGTATGATGATAGGTGTCAGTACTTGAGAGAGGTGCGTAACTAGTGAACCAGAATTTCCAACATGACCAAGGCCCAATGTTACAAAACCATATGGATAACAGACCTCTTCAAAGTGCAAGGAGGATGAACAGATTTTAATGTAACAGTAAGGAAAGTTCACTGATGCAATTTTAGATTCTACATTGAAATTAACTTCTGAGACACTATCACCTGTCATGATTTGGGGTAGTATTAAAAAATATCCTCAATGACCTGAAAAATCTATTATAGCTCTTTCTCGTTTCAATGACATATCTGTGTGAGGCCTTCTGGCCTTTCCTTACACACAGAAGTACATTTGCATATCAAAACAGACAACAAGGAAGTAGGTAAGAGAATCTAGCTGTATTCTACTAAACTGAAAACCAAAGAGAGATGCAAAAATATAAAACAGTGTCACTCTACTAATTTTTTTTTTGGTACTAAGAATTGAACTCAGAACCTTGTGCTTGCCAGCAGGTGATGTAATGCTAAGCTACATCCTCAGCCCTGCTTCACTAATTTTTTAAGTTATTTTTCATTAGTAAGTAATCATTGTTTTTAACGAGTTAAAAATATGTCATTGTTCATTCTAATTTTTAATATCTAATAATATCATTAATAGATGAGAATTCACATAAACAAAAGTGTTGTAGTCCTCAATAATTATTAAGGGTGTAAAAGTTAAAAAGAGAGAGAGAGAGGAATGTCCAAGTGGAAAGTGGGGCTGGGGATGTAGGCAAGTGTAGCACTTGCCTAGGAAGCTCACGGGCCTGGGCTTTGTCCCCAGGATCATAGAAAAAGGATGTGAATCGGCTCCATAACTGTTGTTCTTTTGTTATTTTACTAAAAGGATAGGACTACAATATAATAAAATATTATTTTCCATAAACTTTGGATAATACATATTATGCTAAAGTTTTTTAATTAATACTTAAAAATCTAACTAAGAAGTCAGGTGTGGTGGTTCATACCTGTGGTCCCAGACTTGGGAAGCTGAGGCAGGAGGATCAATGTGAGTTTGAGACTAGCCTGGGTTACAATGTGAGCTCAAGGCCAGCAACTGCATAGCAAGACTTTGTCTCAAAAAGCAAAAACAAAAACAAAACAAAAAATCAAACTAAGTTCAGTCCAAGACCATACCTGACCAACTTTTTCAACATTAAAGTATTTTCCTTTTCGATTATACAGGTCTGGAGCCTAGAAAGAACAAACATAATTTAATTATAAAGTCAGATCAAAAGAAAAGATCTTAAATTTAAACCAAAAAACGTAATTTGTAGGAGAGCTACTAGTTTTAGCTTTTTTCTTTTACAGATTGTAAGACACAAACAAACTGAAGCTCATTTGACAGACTTTATGTTTAGTAATTAAATAATTAGTTCAATAGTTTTTTAAAAAAATGAATTGTTAAAAATTTCAACTGGAAAGCCAGGTGTGGTAGTGCATCCCTGCCATACCAGCACTCGAGAGGCTTTTGCAGCAGGACTGTTTCAAGTTCGAGACCAGCCTGGGCTACAAAGTGAGCTCAAGGTCAATTTGAACAGCATAGTGAGACCCTGTCTCAAAAAGACCAAAAAAAAAAAAAAAAAAAGAATTTTAACTAGATTAAATTTAATTACTTCTTACTATCTATCACTCAGGTCTATTATAATTTTTTAACAAAAACTAAATCATAGAAATGTAATTCTTACCTCATTGAAATGTTCAGTAAGAAATTCAGCAACAAATGTAATATCTTTTTGAGTCATCTATCAGCAACAAAAAAGGACAAAAAAATCAAGTTGAAAAAAGCTCCCCAATAAAACCACCTATCCTGAACAGCTAAGCAAGGGCTGAGGATTGTAAGTTGCAGGATCCATAGTGACTCTGCTCTTTGCTACAAGATACACCTTGAAGGAAATTTTAGGGACACTTGGCACAACCCTTACAGGTGGGAAGGTGTTCACCAGATCTCAACAAAGGTACTGAAATTTAAGTACTTCGTTTTCAATATTTAATATTTAAGGAGGTTACAGTAAGGAACAGAAAGGTATTTCCTGTTATGGTTTGTGTCTAGGTGACTCCCCAAACCTCAAGCAGTCATGGAGGCAGCAAAATCTAGCATTTGTAATTGGTTCGTTGTCTAGTGCTAGGATTGGGGGTGTGAGCGCTGTACCCACCCAGAGGCGGAGCCAGCATACAATATGAAGGAGAGAAAAAGGCCTGTTTTTTTCCTCCTTTGCCCTTTGGCTCCTGTTGCTGGCAGCCACCATGAAAGATGCCACTCAGCCATGCCACCCTGCCTTGGAGCTAGCTGAACATGGACTGAAACCTCCAAAACACTGTTAGCTAAATAAACCTTTCCTTGCTTCACTTTGGGCATCAGGTATTTTGTCTCAACAGCAAAAGTAACTAAGAGACGTTATACATACTATAAAATCTTTAAAAAACATGAAAATTTGCACAGCTGTAAAATGGATTGAGAGCTGAAAAAGTATACGAAACATGCAAATTTCTAAAAAATAAGATATACAGGATTTGTCTAATGTCTACAGCCTGATAGCCTGTTAATTATTAACTATGTCAGAGTATCATACCAAGAAGACCAGCAAAGCTGACCTCTATCAGGAAAATAACAGTATATTACAAAACATGCAGCTGTCCCTTGGCATCTGTAGAACAGTGGTTCCAAGGCTGCCACACACACTGAAATCTACAGATGCTCAAGTCCTTTATGAAAGATGGCACAGAACTGCATATAGCATACATACACCCTCCAGTGCATTTAAATCACCTCTAAGTAACTTGTAATACTTAACACTGCAGAGTATAGATTTATATGAATAGCTGTTACACCAAATCATTTAGGGAATGAGAACAAGATGTTGGGCACAGATACAGTCTTTCTCAGAGCATTTCTGATCCGTGGCTGGCTGGCCCCACTCCTATACGCTACCTTATTCAGCTCGGGAAGCACGTGGTCTTCAGTCATTCGCAACATTGCTGTAAATACAGAGTTAAAAAATGATCTTTACCCCGGTACTGATAAAAAAAAAAAAAGAAAGAAAGAAAATTTAAAAAATGATCTTTAAAGGAAAACTAAACATTTAAAGACTATGCCTTCCATCTTGAAAAGTTTCTTTCAGCAAAAAAACTGTGTCTTCTAAAAACTAAAGGGTAAACAGCTTAGCTCTAAGTATGTTCAGGATCAAAACTACAGTATTGGTCTAAATGTTATAAACTGTATTTTTCCTCCTCAACTCAACCTGTTGCTGCTCTAGGCAATAAACTGAGCTGCGGTCTTGTGCTGGGACACCTGCAAGGCTCCTCTTCCCAACCTGGTAGTGTTTCTTCTCTCAAAACCGGCAAACAACTCTTTCCTCCAAAGCTTTGTGACACCAAAGAAATGTGAACTTCCCTTGGCCTTTTTTTGCTGCACTAAGATTTGTGTGAATACACATAATTACATATATGCGTATTTTTAGACTTTTCCTTAGCATACGTGGTTGACTCTCGTGCCTCCATAGGGCTGTCCTCAGTAGCAGGTTTTTGTATTATGCCAACCAAAGTCAAGACTAAGGACACTGCATGTCCTTCTGTGGTGGCAGAACGTGCTTCTCAACTGGGTGATCAGTAACAAGAATGTCAGAAGTATCTCCACAAATACAGATCATTTGAGAAGCCATTTTTAATTAATTCAAACTGTCTGAAGGAATAAGACTACTACATAATTCCACAATTCATTCCTTTATTCATTTAAAAAAAAAAAACCTGCTGCCTGATTACACTACAGGTGCTAGGGACAGCGTAACAGAAGCCCCCACCTGCAAGCAAACTGCACTTCACAGAAAAGACAACCAATGCTCCTCAGTCACTGCTGGTGGCAGAGCCAGGATTATGACTAGGTCTCCTGCTGTCCAAGCTCCTGTGCCTTCCACAGTGTCATGTTCTCAGGACTAAGCAGTAACTCATTTCTCATCTAATCCTGGTCCTTACCAATTACGTTGAACAATACAGAAATAGCCTAAATTATCTATAATAACTATACCTAAAACCCAGCTATGTCTCCCATGAAACAAGGATTTCTAAGTTTCATTCAGTTTTAATACTGCAGTTTATTTCAGTTAACAACTCAGATCTTAAATAGGTTGAGCTGATAAACACTCTGGTTTCCCATTCTGGCTGACATTAGTATAGTGAGAAAAATGCAAGAATTTCAAGGACTAACATCAGCTCACATTCAGTCTTTAAACAGTCATGCTGATAAATATGAAGTCTGCCTTTATAGTATTAGAATTGACGATCTAGACATTTAAAGAAGGTAGCAGCATGTGAGAGGTAATTTACTTTCTTTTTCACACTTTTAAAATTCTGACAAATTCCATTTACAACTAAGTTTTGAGAGAAAGAATATACAACCATTTAATACCAAGTCAGTGGGTATCTGTCAGCTGAACTGCCCACTCGGCTGCAAAGACACTGGAGGTGCAGAGAAAGACCGCATGGAGGTCTGCAGGCTACGAAGCTGGGGTGCTGCTACTAAGCTAGGGATAGAGCTGGGGAGGTGCTGACAGAGATGTGCCACCACTGACCACCCACAACACCTGAGAACATCCAAGCGGCCAGGCTGACCGAGGAGCTCAATCCGTAATTTTAAGGCCTCTCAATCAGTGGCTTGCTCGTGGCTACCGCCATGGACTGCAAAGATCTAGAAACTGCAAGACCACAGTATAAAAGAGGATACTCGAGGACTGTCTTAAACTCCAGCACCAAAAATTGCCCCATCGACACCAAGCATTCGAAAATGTTAGCTTCAATTACACTAAAAAAGAGTGGGCACAGCATTCCGGGGAGCTGTGGTGGGTGGTGTACAAAGAAATCTGCCTGGCTAGCTGCTGGTAACACCTGAAGCTGGGTGAAGCATGGAGGGGGCTCATTCTACCACACTACTAATCTTAAAGATCTTTTGATTTTATTAGTGTAACTGAAAATACTCCCATAATTTAAAAAAAAGTTAAAATAGCAAGCATGCTTTACTCAATTAACTTACCCACATACAGCCACCGAAAAAATGCTTTGAAGTTTTTCATACTGCTATCTATAACCCTACAAAGATAAAAAGAAATCAGGAAACAAAAGATTATGTTGCATTCATGTATAACTGTCAGTTGTCACGGACTATAATAATCCTAACTGTTCTATTTTACCCTATCCAGATGACATGTAAGCCCTTGGCACAGCAGATGTTACAAATCAAACACATCCATAAAAATACAGTTAAAAAAATCAAATCCTGATTATTTCCAAAAATAGAGCAAAGTAACTCAGATTTTAACTGGCTATAACTGTCTGATCACAAACTGTGTAGACTCTTTCCCCATATTCAATAAACTATGAAATCTTTTTCTGACCCTAAAATAAATCAGTAAAAAACAGTTTTCAGTATTATTCTTAGTTTAAAAAAAATCTGGTCAGTAAGAAGTAAAACATCAATCAGACAGAAAAAAAAAAAAAAATAAAGCATCATTCCAAATCCTTACTATGTTATGACCCCTGATATCAATGAACACTATTTTCTGAAGCTGACTTTAGACTCTGACAATAACTAAGGCCTCAAAAATTAAATTCCTTAAGCTTTACACAAATGCACCCCAAAATTAAGTACATATGATAAATGGAAGGCATCTTCATTTTGATGAAACTAAATACAAAGATGGAATTTTCAAAAATATCTCTTTAAAGCCATACGTATGGGATAATTACTCTAAACACACAATAACTGCACATTTCATTCCTGTTTCTCAAGACCCCTCTGCCAAGTATTAAGTTTCACAATACCACCAGTGAGGCAGGTCAATATCATTAACCTTTCTGTACAAAGTAAGACACTTGAAACTAAAGACTGCAACTTCCCCTACATAACCAAGCATCATAAACAAAACTCTCTTGCAGAAACAATGAGAAAAGTAATATAAAAACAAAACAAAACCCAGTTCTTTTGTGGCTTTCTCAATCCCCCAGCCCATCCCAAGCACCCAAGCTTACATCAGAAGTCTAATGTCTCAGCTTTTCCTTTTGTAACCCAGAATAAAAGCAACGCTATGTTCTATATTCTTGAAAGGAGCAAAACGTTGACTGCCTTTCATTCTTGTTGAAAGGTGATCACAGAAAGCTTAACACTTTGTTTTGTTCTCAGCAAATATGGTAAAGCGAAAAACACAGAAAAAGCACTGTCACTTCCTCTCTCATTTTGTTTTCTGAGTACCAGACTCTGTAACTTCTACCTTCTAAGATGCCATTAAAGTGATAATGGAGGGGGGGGGGCATATGAGTTACAAAGTCACAAAAATAAAAATCCAGTGGAAAAGAACTAGAACAAATGTCAGAAATGTCAAGGCCTTGGTGACTGATGAAACTCAATGGCAGAGGCCATCTGCCTGGCAGAGAATAGCAGGGGCAGCCAGGAAAGGTCAGAAAAGACCAAGAAAGGCTAAGAAACTGTTCAAGCTTAAAGAGACACAGCAGCCACGTCCTGTGAGCACAAACTGCACCTTACTGTACTGAACATCACCAGCATACCTGAAAAATTCAAACTGAGCTTTAGATTTAAATACTGAGTCAAAGTTTAAAAACCTAACATGTTAACTATACTATGTATGGTTAGGTAAGAAGATTAACTTATGCTTAGAAAATATACACTAAAGTCTCCATACAATCACTTAGCAAATCTTGTTATACTTTCAAAACATATCCAGATTCTGATCACCATTTCTCTCCTGACTTATAATCTAGTCTCAGCATTACATTAAGTGATAAGAGGCATCTTTTTAAAATCTAAGTCTTGGGAGGGAGCAGCAGGAAAGGAGAAGGAAAAAGGACTAGGATGTGATGTGTTTATGTACCCACTCCTCAAGATAAATGCATTCGTTATATATCACAAACACGTACTAATAAAACAACATTAGCCCTTACCCTTACTTCACATCTCCTAACGCCCCAGGGGCTCCAGCTGCCCCAGAGTGAAAGTCCAGGCCCACTGCCACTGCCAGCCTCTGCCCATCTCTCTCCCACTGTCCCACTGCCTCAAGCGTCACAGGCTGGCTTCCTTCCTGTCTCCCTCAGTTCACCTTCATCATGAGCCCTTCTTCAGCAGCTGTGGGCCACTGAGTCCAGGACTACCCCTCCACGCCAGGACACCAAGGCCCTGCCTGAAACAGCATGACATTTGCATGTCACCCACACACATCCTCCTGAGTATCTCCATCAGGTCTAGGCTGCAGTGTAAGTACTACACAAACAGTTGTTACAGTGCACTGTTTAGGCACAATGACAAGAAAAACATGCCGGTGTCTCTGCAGCACAGATGCCAACTTTCCTCCGAACACTCACAACGTGAGAGTAGTTAGATCTGTGAATGGGCGATCCCGCCACACACAACCTGCAATCCTGCCCCTCGCACGCCAGCACGCCATCGGCCTGGCTCTCTCTTCCCTGCCTGGTGTTTTTCACCACTTGTTACTCTGTGCTACTACGCAAAACGTGATTTTACAAATTGACTAAATTGCCACTACTTCTGCTCAAAATATTCTCCCTTGCTTCAAATATACTTATCTCACCATTCTTGCCACTCTTGGAAGCATTTCTGTAAGTTCACTTTCCTGTCTTCACAGATGTGATAAAAAACACAGGGAATGTTGTCAAGGGCCATCCAATGGAAAGGCAGATGCGTAAAACATTACAGTGTGCTCTCGTCAGTCTTACTCACTGGATCTGCACAGTGCGACTTCTGGTTCTTCCCAAAGTCAAAATGACCATGACAGGCAAACATTCTGAATTGATTCAGAATATCGAGGCAGCCAAATAGTACAACGAAAGACAAAAAGACTTCCGGAACTGCTTCAGAAAGTACCGAGGACGATGGGAAAAGTATGTTTGAGGTGAGGCAGAATATTCTGAGGGATTCGTGGCAATGTGTCTCTTACTGTAAGAAATTATTTTTTAATCTAAAAATCCATCTTATTTTTCAAACACACCACATATATTTGAATTATTCATTTGCTTATTGTCTATCTAACCACATTAAAATACAAGATCTTTGAGGGCACGGAGTTTTAGGAGTTTTGTTCACTGCTGTGTCCTCACTTAATACACAGTGAAGTGCTCAATGTCTATTAGGGAATGACAGCATGGGATAATTAAGTTAAAAATGCTTTTAGAAAACAAATGTATGAAAGATATGAAAAAATATGAACAAAAAGGATCAGTCCATGAAGTCTAGTACTTAACCAAATAGATTTCTAGAACAAAAATGTAATTAAAAAGACAAAAAGAAATTATCAGGATAATAAAATAATATTCAAGATAAAACAACTTTATTATCAGCACAATAAATGAAAAGATCTTTATCTAAAAAGACTGATGTGAAACTTCATAACAAGGATAGGCTAAAGCTTTTAGAGTGACAGGGAAAAAAATCAAAGGAATGAGAAATCAGCAGCACAAGACCCTCCATCAGCAACATGGAGTTCAGAATACGAAAAGAGCAAGGCTTTCCAAGTTCGGAGAAGCCCACTTTCCCTCAGCACCCCAAATCCAGCCAAGGTCTCCTACTGAGCACGAGGGAAGAGAGAAGATGCCGGTGCCTACCTTCTGCAGCTGCTCTCTAGTTACTCAAGGCTGCTCTCCAGCACGCACCAATGCAGAATAGCAGCAGTGACCCGAGGGCCTGACCTGACAGAGAAGGCAGCGGACAGAGTGCCATGCGGACGGGAGTGCACCTGCAGACCTAGGGGTGCGGGGTGCAGGCTGCCGCGGCCAACGAGTCACAGGGAACTGGGAACCGCCTTCCCTCAGTCAGGGGAACAGAGTTGGGAAAATCAGAGAGGCACTTCTAAAGCTGATAAACACAGGACATGGAGTACAGCCGTGGTTCAGAAATATGGAAATAACTTATAAACTACAAGAGTTACAAGTTAGGTTTCCTCTGGAAGGACAAGAGTAGGGATGGCTGGGACAGGAAAATACGGTTTTACTTTGTAGGATCGCTGTGCTGCTGGCTTGTTTTACACATGCAGGTGTAATTCTGATAAAAATTTAAACATTCATTTTAAGAAAATCAAGACATTTGTTAGGTATTATTTAAGCTGAAATATTCACAGATTCATGGTTGTGGGTAAGTCCATTACTTACTGAAGAAGTTCATTTGCTTTGAGTATGAAAGAACCCACAGCAGTGATAGCATCTAAAGGAAAATAAACGAATAAACAAATAACTTGTTAAGAAGTAAACAGTGTCTGACATATTTCACTGAGAAACTAAATCCCTACCTTCAATCCCCGTGGCATCCAGTCCCAGCGGCTGGTACTTCTGCTTCCACGAAGCCATCCCCTTCAGTTCACTCAGGTGGTACAACAAAGACTCGGAGCCGCTGGCAGGAAAGCAGAACAGGGGTCAGTTACCACCACCAAGGCGATGCACAGCCACCCCTGTCTGACAGATCTATAAATAAAAACTGAAAGCAACTTTAATTTCCTTTCTACAAGAAATAATAATTTGCCAAAACTACAGAAAACTGTAGAATTGTCTGGTCATCAGAATATACAGATTAGGCCAGGTGCAGCGGTACATGCCTGACATCACAGCACACGGGAGGCTGAGGCAGGACTGCTGCAAATTCAAGGCCATTCTGGGCTGCAAAGTGAATTCAAGGACTGCCTGAACTGCACAGCAAAACCCTGTCCCTAAAGACCAAAAAATAAATAAGGAAATAAATAAAGCAAGAATCTGTATAAAAGCCCTGGCTGGAGACAAAACGGCATGTCTGGGAAACTAAACGCCACTAATGCACACAAAGCTGAGAGTCTAGCACTAATGGTCATGCAAAGGTCGTGGTCCCAAGAGCAAAGGAAGACAGCACTAAGTTTCTGGGAATCATGTGGGCGGCTCCACTGGGGAAAAGCCACTCCAAGGACTGTGTGACCCAGACCCAGCAGTGCAAAATGTGCTGCCAGCCCGAAGGCTGGGCTGGGTCCTCAGCCTGCAGGGTCAGAGTCTAAACCTGACGCCAGCATCCACTTGCAAACTACCTCTGTAAGGCAGCTGTGACCACAAACAACACAAACTAGGAAGACTGAACCGAGTCTCAGCTCTGACACTTCTCAGTCTGAGCCAGTCACACAACCAATTGGGAACCTCTGCCTCTTCCTGTGTAAGACGATGATAGCAAGAACAAACTGCCAGGGTGTCCCATGAAGAAATATACGATATGCATAGAAAGCTGTAACTAACACACAGATACACTTAATTTCACTGATCAAAAAAGCACATGTGCCCTATTTCACAATACACCTATGGCTAAGGGAGAAAAAGCCCAGCCAGGGTCTACCCTGCTTAAAAGATGCTAGAAAATCACTCGATAGAGCAGAATCACCATTACTGACTACCTAAATCTGGGGTATATCAAGATTTCCCTCCAATGCCAATGCAATAATTTTAGCTCGAAAAGACTCAGAAAATGCTAGATGATATGTGTGGATGCAATACCAGAACCTTCTACATTGCCTTCGTACCTCTGTAAGTGACTGATAACCAACTTCTGAATACTGGAATAGGATGACTCTATAGACTGGCCGAGCTTTTTTAAGCCCTAAGTAAGTGAAAAAAAAAACAAATTTAGAATATGACTAGGATATATGCCACTCTAAATAAGAAAAAATTAAGAATATATTCATAAATACAGATACATTAATGGCACCTTTACTGTTAACTGGTTCATCAATAGCGTCTGAAGTTCAGCACTGAAATAAAAAAATGTTTTTAGTCATTTCTCCATTCACACTTCATGCATCACTTAAAATTTAATTTTCAAAGTACAAAGAAAATTTTAAAACAAAATAAATAGTCCAAAAGAAATGAGGACTGGGTGGGCATGGTGGCTTATGCCTGTAATCCCAGCGTTTGGGAGGCAGAGGCAGGAGGATCTTTGGGAGTTTGAGGTCAGCTTGGGATACCAAATGAGTTCAAGGTAGCCTGAACTACATAGTGAAACCTTGTCTCAAAAGGACAAAGAAAAAGAAACAAGGACTTTCCATGTACTCATCAAGGGACAGGAAACAGGAACTAATAAAAGCCAGAAACAGACTAACACGCACACGAGGACACACAGTATGCTCACAGGCCCTTCAGAGCAGCACACAGGGCCGGCACTCAACCAGTCACACTGACAGTACCACAACCATTTAGGGAAAAGGAGTCAGCCTGCCACAATACACAACCAAGTAACCACATCTGGAATATGGAAAGGGGTAAAACATAACCTGCACAAAAGCTCTAGAAGAAAATCCAAACCAACCCTGGAATACTCTTAACATGTAAAAGGTCTTTTTAAGGTCCCAGAAAGGAAAAGATTAGTTTGGTGACATTAAAAGTTACAAAATTTTATTTAATAAAACACAGGCCAACACACAAAATGATCACATTTACATTAAAAATAAGCACAGGAAGCCCAGAAAGACATGTACCTTTTTAGTTTTCTGGTCTCTTATGTACCAGAATTTTCTATTTTATTTTTTATAGAGAATACAATTAGTATTAAAATAAACAGTTGCTATAAAAGAGGAGGAGGAGAGGGAGAACAAGGGAGAAAAGACAGCCAAGCAAGAGCCCCTGAGCTGAGCTCATCACCTTGCTTTTCCCCACAACAGCAGATGCATGAACTCGTCTTGCACTGATGTGGTTGTGTTCTTTTCCTAAGGAAATGAAAAGAGAAAATCCAATTCACATGTTTTAAATTTTAAGTATTTTATACGATATTATATCATAGGCATACACCTTCCTTTCTTTCATGTCCCCTCAGACCTGTCTATAATCAGACGTTGGAGTATCAGTGGTGGAAGACAGGTTGTCAGCCATTGTACGCCTGCCCTTACTTTCCAAGCCACAGGGCCACACTTCAGCCTGTCCCCTAGGGACAGCTCAGATGGTTTGTGCCCCCAGGACTCCTGTGTTGGAGGCCGCTGAGGGGGAACCCCAAGGAGGTGGGCACGTAGGAGGTGGTTAGGGCACTGGGGTACGGCCTGGGAAGAAATCGAGGGACCCTTCGAGAGGCTGGCAGTCCCCGAGCGACGGCCCTGTCACAGAAGAGCAAGGCTGCCTCCTCTCTGGCTCTCCTGCCTGCCCCACCAGGTGACCTCCGACATACTCTCCTGACACAATGCCCTCCTCACCGGAAGAACACATGGGTTGCATGGTCTTGGTCTTCCTGCCACCAAAACTGAGAGCAAAACAACTCTCTTTTCTTTATGTTATCCAACTCGGGCACTTTGCTACAGCAGTGGGAAACTGAGATGGAGCCCGTTTTGCAAATCTCTCTGAGATAATACTGAAGTTAGACCAAGCCATCTGAAAGGAATAACAGTCTTAGCCTTTTACAAATCAGGTTGCTTTTCCTCATGCACCCAAAAAAGTAAACACAGGATTATGTACTTTTAAACTCTCTCCATGAAGTTTCAGCTACATTACCTGCACGAACTTGGTGAGACGGGAATCCATTTGCATCAGTATTTCTTCCCATGCTTCACACATACATGTCAGTGATAAATTTATATACTATTAACAAAAAAAGGTAAAAAGAAATTTAAACCAGCAAGGCAACTAAATAATGTTTCTTATGATCAAGTATCACAAAGAAACCCAGAATTTCTTCTCAATCTCTCTTAACTAAATTCAAGGGAAAGAGAACAGTGTAGCCAAACCACCAAACTATAAAACATTCAATCTGTCTTAGACTTTCACAATAAAATATGTTTAGAGGGCTGGGAACGTAACTCAACTGCAGAGGGCTTGCCTCGCGTGAGTGAAGCCCTAGTTTCAATCCCTAGCATTGGAAAAAAAAAGTTTACGTTTATATCTGGTAAAACAAATACCATCAAGTTTTCTCATTATTGTTTTATTTTTTATTTGTTTTGAGACACAGTTTCACTACACAGTTCAGGCTGGCCACAAACTCCCAGAGATCCTGCAGCCTCAGCTTCCCAAGCACAGGAATTACAGGGATGTATCACCATGGCCAGCTCAAGTGTTTCACATAAGATACATTTTATGTATGGTAACTGTGAAAATGCTAGTTGGTTCAGCTACTGAAACAGCACTAAAAAGATACTGACCTCAGCCAGGCATGGTAGCACAGCCTTGTAATTCCAGTGCTCTGGGAGGATAAGCCAGAGAAGATCACCAGTAAAACCCTAGCCTGGGCAACTGTGTGACTCAGCAAGTTTGTCTCAAAATTAAAAAAGAAATTAAAAAGCAGTGGGGATGTAGCTCAAAGTGAAGGCTCCCGAACTCAATCCCCAGTACCAAAAACATAAATAAAAAAGACACTGAAAAAAAAAAAAGATGCTGATCTCTAGAAACCCGTGACAGCAGGTAAATTAAAGGCTGACAGACCGACAGCAGTAAACGATGTCGAGTTCCTTGCAGCTGCTCCACCAAGAGGCAGCCACAGCCCTCACCTCTGGCCTGGCTCACGTCCTGCTCTCCCAGCGCACTGCCACTCCCAACTTGCTTCCCTGGCAACAGGACCACAAAACGAGGCCTTTGCTGCAGGCCTGCGGAGGGGAGGAGGGGAGGGGGGGGAGCAGCAGAGCAGCCCTGCACACCTGCAGCCCACAGGACGCACCAGGCGGGCCCACAGCCCGAACTGCTGACCTAGGGAACGGGGCCAATCCGGGCTGGGTGCAGTGAACACTAACTCGCGGGAAGGCTGCTTTCCAGCACACTTTATTTGCAGTAAAACGTAAGTGGCATTTATTTATGAGAACATGTAAAGCAATTTAAACTATGTTTTCTTTTCTTTTGGAGATGGTAGACAGGGTTGAGTGGAATTAGATCCTCAATTAAAGTTTCTTTTCTTGCTTTAGTCAATAAGATTAGCAGCCTAAGCACCTTTATTCCAGAAAGCTTTATAAAATAAAATTTAAATTTTTCCTTATGAAACTTTTAGTAAATACATAAAGCAAGCCATAAATACAAACCTGCAAAAGAGCTGAAATGTGAGTAAACTTTCTAGCCATCCTCGTTACTTCAGGTAAGAAGGAATACAACAGGTTAGTTTCAAGCTGTAAAATAAAGTGGGTGAGTCACAATCAGATTCATTTGTTTATTTTAAAGACAAATTGTTTCTGCTCAGCTCAAAATCAAATCCTATGATTTAGTGAACAATCTCATTAGGAGTCAGAAAGACTGTGTGATAACTCAGCCCCTTCAAGAACAACAAACACAGTCTGGGACTAAGAGCATGACCTCCGGATTTCCTGACCTGTGCAGGACTTGGAGCATCACTCAGTCCCTGCAACGTGGCTAGAACCAAACAACCTACTCTGTAACATTATTATGAGAAAATTAATAAATGACCACACATGTTTAAAATTGTCATGGAAGTAAAAGAAATTACAGTTTATTGAGAAATACAAGGAAAACACCTATTGGTGTTACATCACAGAAGAAGTGACGTAACTTTACTGCAGCCCAAACGCCGTCCTGGCAATCACGGTTTCTGAGTCTGAAAATGAGCAGTGATCATGAACCGGCACAGCAGGGAACTGCAACTCAAGACTATGACACTGAGATGGCTGGGAGGCCTCACTTTTTCTTCTCTGCTTTTGTTTGAGATTTGTGGGGAACTCAGGCAGATGGCTGAGATATCTAAGATGAAAATTCTGGGATGATTTCTTGGCAAGGCAAAGCTGAAATGTGAATTCTCTATTGGAGCTTGTCAGTTTCCTCAAGCTATAAAATAAACAGCACACAGTAAGCAAAGTTCGTCTCAGTATTAAGTGGTCATTCTACACGAGCAGCACTTCCTGACATAGAGCAGGCCTGCAGTGCCTGTGTGCGCCAGGGTACGCATCCGTAAAACGGGAGGATCCCAGAGCCACGCCAAGTCCGAAGCAGTCGGTACCTGGCATATTCAGGTGATCAATAAATAGCAGTCTTTGATAATCTTAGAGAAAATTCTAAGAAAATACAGTATAGTGATACCTCAGTTGTTGACGGACTCCAAGTTCAAATTTTCCAATACTTGAACAGAAAAAAAAAATCAAAAGCTATCTGCTCCATTTTTATAACTTTGCTCTATAGTCAAACTGAAAAATCTAACTTGAAGAAACCTGTACAAGGGCTGGGCATGATGGTGCATGCCTATAATCCCAGCACTCAGGAGGCTGAGGCAGGAGGATCACTGTAAGTATGAGGTGAGCCTGGGCTACTTGGTGAACCCAAGGCCAGTCTGGGCTACACAGTAAACCTGTCACAGAGCAAAGCAAAGCAAAACAAAACAAAACATAAACCACCCTCCCTATATAGGTGAGATTGACTCATGCACTGCATTTCCATCTAGACACAAAGGGGTGACACTTCAACCTAGGTGCTGCTCTCACCCAGACAACATACAGAGTTTGTGTTAAAACATCTGCCACCGTGTGTTTTTTGCAAATATCATAACCATAGCTCCAAAGAAAGCAATAGTTGCAGAAAAGCTAAGAAGAAAACTAAGAACCATAATAGAGTTAAAGAAACAAATTACTAGGAAATCTATCAAAGTCTTGAAAAAGCAAATGTATAAGTGTACTTTGCAGCGTGAGAACCAATTATTTGGTTTCCCATTATTTCTTACGGGAAAAATACATTCAGTTCTCAGACCTTTCAGTGTTCACACAAGAATCAGGAACAATTTGAGTTCAACAACCGAGATATCACTGTACTTGGTTCAAAGTTAAACTAGTGCAATAACCTATTAGCATGCCTTTTTTTTTTCACCAGGAATCAAACTGAGGACCTCATGCTTGCCATGCATGTGTTGTGCCGCTGAGCTGTATCCTTGGCCCCTATTAGCATGGTCTTCACCACACCACCAAAGCTCTTCTACGAAAACTGTACTGAAGTGAGGGGATCGCTATGATCAGCGCACAAGACTTAGAAACTCCACGCAGATTTGCTTTCTTTTGATGACAATTAAAATACAGTGAGACATGGATATGAAAAAACCGCAAGCACCGAGTCTGTATTTCAGTGGTAGAGAACACACCTCATGTAATGGCTTTGGCTTGAGCCCCAATACAGAAAAGAAAAACAAACAAAATTGACCTATAAAATACAGCTTATTTGTTATTGCCATTAGGTTCCAACACCCACCTGAAAGTATGAAACTTCGTGAGCACTACCGGCAGACACCTCTGTGACCACTGACAGCGATTTCAAATCACTTGATAAGCATAATGCAAGGCAAGTACCAGCAATCTGTAAGACATTTAACGGCCCTCAGTACCTCTGGAGACACTGCCAGGCTGCACTTGCCTGAACATGGGAAGCAGAAATTCAGTGTCAGAAAGCAGACACACATCCTGACTCCTACCAGACCTGCGTGACAAGTAGAGGCTAGAGCCCGCCCCACATCCTGCCTGGGCACGGGACACAAACACGCATCAAGGGTCCAGAGCAGCTGCAGAAGACACAGAGACCACAGCTTGTGCTAGCTTCTACCCTTTCAAAGATGCAAAGAAAAAGGTGCAAACACCTTCAGAGAAGACTAAGACTGGCAATTGTGGCAGCCTCAGCACTGGGCCTAAGACTGCTTCTGGTGACTTCATTACATTCCAATCACAAATTCCAGCTCTGACAGTTAGGGTGCAAATCACACCATCGCTGAATGGACTGCACTAAATCTTTTTGTTAAGAAGAACTTGGGGCTGGGGATTTAACTCAGTAGCATAAGTGCTTGCCTTGCAAGCAGGCAGTCGTGAGTTCGATCCCCAGTACCGATAAAAAGGAAAAAGACAAAAAAAAAAAAAAAAAAAAAAGAAGAACTTGACTATCAAAAGCTTCTGATTTCTATAGACATCGTATTACCATTATTTTATCTTTTTAAGAAAATTGTCCTCTAACCACTTAAGAGTAAACTGAAACTAGAAAAAAAAACTATTTTTAGTCTACAAATAAATATGCTATATTCTAAGAGAAATAATATAGAAAATTTTAAAACAGAAACTTACCCCTGTGACTCGAGCAATTTTGAACATTCCATAAGCATAAAGTTCAATAAATCCAGAGCTTCCTCCAAGGACAAGAATATTAAGCCTAAATAAAAATAATGCAAAAAGCTGAGGACCAGTAAACAACAAAGGTGCTCAAGCTGTTAAACTGAGCTACAAGTGCTCCTGCTCTCACACAATCTACATGCGAGGCCTTCTGCAGAGAAGCGAAAGCCAAGCAAACCCACCGTCTTGTCACAGCTTTCCTTTTTTCTCAAAAGAACATAAATATCTGGTAGCCTAAAAAAACTCATGGTCAGGCATTATGGCACATGCCTGAAATCCTAGCACATGGGAGGCTGAAGCAAGAGGATCACTGTTAGTTCAAAGCCAGCCTGAACTACATAGCTAGACCTTGTCTCAAAAAACAAAAAATAAAATATTTAAAAATTAGTTTACAGTAAAATAACATTAACAATGATATTTATATGAAGTCAGTAACAAAACAATCCTTTTCCAGCTAATACAAAGTGCTATGAGTTTTATCATGGATATGATATAAAACATTAAACAAGCTTAAAGAACTCAGATAATAAGTTTAAAAGTTAGAAATTCTTGTACTTCCGTTCTTCTTAAAACACAGAAAAAAACCATGCCCTACAACTTAACAAAATGAAAGACTACACAATAAAAATGACAAACATTACCATGTGCATATTGTTGAAAGATGCCAATGTAACAATCAAATAGCATAACAAATGAAAGACTTGTTCTTAAAAGTTCTGAAGAATTAAACATCAACTTAAAGAAATCAGACTTAAGATAACTGTAAGATTTACCTGACATCTCCCAAGAGTTTAATAATTTCATCAGAATTTTCTTCACTAAAATATAAAAATAATTTGGGTCATCTGTCAATGATATCTTTTAACCATAATAAAAGATTATTTTACGTGAAAGCAAAAAAAGGTGTATCTTACCTAAATATTTTTGAGGTGTTGCTGTAACTAGAGAAAAACAGATACAAGGGTAAAAATATTTTAATAGAGATCCATTTTTTGAAAGATCTGAAAAAAATGTCAGACACAAGCACAGGAAAAATTTTCAAGATTAATTCTGAAGAAATACAACCCTGCTACTTACTTTTTTGGCAGTGTGGGAAGCTTGGGCAGGAGAAGGTTTGACTCATCCTCAGCATTATAGAAGGATGTGAGGACACTGATGCGAGGAGAGGAAACCCAGCATTACACAGCAGCAAAAGGGTTCTTTCTTTCCACTAGAAATGTACATTTGTGAAAAAGACTCCAGTTTGATGACATTAACAAGTAAACAGATGCCATGAATATTTTACTACTGTAAAACAATCACTCTTAACAATAGATGAGAAATAAAAAACTACAGATTGTTATTTCTTGTAAAACAAATCAGCCAGCAATGATGGCACACCCCCCAGTAATCCCAGCACTAGGGAGGCTGAGGCAGGAGGATCGCTGTTTGAGGCCAGCCTGCCCTACATAGTGAGTTCAAGGACAGTGTGAACCACACAGTGAGACCCTGTTTCGAAAAACCAAAAAACAAATTTGTCTACCTACTCTCCATTTAGAGGAATGAATATATTACTATTCAAGTTTTCTTATCACATTAACTATATTTTGTACATATACAATCTTCAGCTACTGACTGAATATTTATGACTTTTTAACCCTAAGAATCCATATTAAACACCTGAGTACTAAGAATAATTGTACAGGCCAGGGTACAGCTCAATGGCACAAGTGCCCATCTGGCAAGCAGGAGGTCCTCAGCTCAATCCCCAGTATAAATAATAATTGTATAGAACACTGCAATTATTTTATTATTTAAATACAGTTTCTATGGCTTACATACACTTGAGGACTTGACACCTGGCAGGTGTATCATGAATCTTGACCTTTTTTTTGAGATAGGGTTGCACTGTATATTCTAGGCTGCCTTTCAACTCAGTTTCTAGGCCAGGCTGGCTTCAAACTCTCCACGATCCATCTGCTTCAGCCTCCTAAACTCTGGGATTACAAGCATGCGCCACCACGCCTATATCCCAGTCTTACTTAATCCTCTTTTCTTTTTCAATTCTATCCCTAAATAACGCTGGAAATACGTGACTGAGCAAGTGAAAAAGTGGTGATTTGGAAATTATGTTTCCCCCCAGTTAATAGTTAGCCACCCAATAGAGTGGAATCACTACCTAACATTTCTAAACTCTTGGCACATGCTGGGGATTTAGCTCAGTGGCACAGCGCCTGCCTGGCACGGACGAGGTCCTGAGTTCAATTTCTGGTATCAAAAAAAAAAAAGAAAGACAAGAAACCTCTCAGCAGAAAGCATGTTGGGAATGCGCTTAGCAGATAAGGGGCTGCAATGTGAATTACACAGCACACTGTTTCTCTGCTTTTAAACACTCATGTAACCATGTGCAATCTCTGATTAGTTCATGATGGATGAATCGCTCTGGTTTACCCAGGGCGAATTTCAAACCCCAGGCTAGATTCTTGTTATGCAACCCTTTAAAATTCCCTTAGGAAATTGTCAAAAATCAGTCAGGATTTATAAGCCATGTGATATTAACTCAGTGGAACTTAACTGGAAAGAAAAAGCTAATGAGAAAAAAGTACCACACCTCCCCTAAAAAGGAAAATATATTTACACTAACAAAACTCTCTGACCCTGTCAGCCTGTGTTTACTGCAAGCCTGGTATACTATGGGACCACAAAGAACAAGGCAAAACTGTCTTTAGGAAACAAGGAAAATATGAGGACAACAGACACAGAAATGACCTGTGCAGCGTAAGAGCAGAATGCTCGGTTTAGCACTTTTCACACTAAGATTATTTACTTAGACACAAAAGGCCAAGGTCTACACAATAAATGCTGAAAGAGAAAGCAGAACTACAATTCCTAATCAGTAATTTGAGTTAGTATTACTTGAGAGTAAACCATCGATATAAACTGAAAACAAAAAAAAAGAAATGAGAAGAATCTTGGTCATTCAAGCATTATCAACAGATTTTTTTTTTTTTTTTTGGAAGAAAAGAAAAAAATCTAACACAACAGTAAAACATTTTGATAAACTCAAAACCAAAACTGAAATGCATCACACAGCCACTCAATACTCCGAGTGAGGCCCAGCTGCACACTTGCCGCCAGTCCCGTCAGGACCCTGCGTGGCTCTCTGCACCTGCTCTCTGCAGTCACTTCCATCCAATGCATGCAGGAGACAGGAGCCTCCACGGAAAAAGAGTGCAAGCTCTCAGGCTTCTCTACATCGCACAAAATAATCTTCTTGGTGTCAGCAAGCGCAAAGGCCAAAACTAGAACAAGAAAAAAAATGAGTTAGTGTAACATTTGAGAAAAGGAAACAGGCATTTTTACTTACTGCCCAGTTTACTACATTACACACATCTTAGTCAGAGAAATTATATGACACACACATTTTCCCTTCAATACTTTAAAAAGATCACTGCATAGTTATGTTGTTATCTAAGTTTATTTTCAAACTGCACGAACAGTGTACTTTCTGACCTGCTGCACTTACTATCTTTAACATCAGTCTCTATACTGAAATCCTACATCCAATAAAAAATACAAAACTGGTGTTAACAGAAAAATAATTACACTCTATATTATGACACACTAGTTTCATAACGTTAGGAAGAAGCCCAGTTGAGACAGGGCTCACAAAGTTTGAGGCCAGCCTGGGGAACTTAGCAAGATCCTACTTCAAAATAAAATAAAAAGAGCTAGAGATGCATCTCAGTGGTAGGCACTTGCCTACCACATACCATGGTTTCAGGATCACAGGAAAAAAAAGAAGGCACTGACTCTATCTGACATGTTCTCAGAAGTCTTTTTATGCCTCTTCTGTTTCTAACCTACAATAGGAAATAAGGCCATCCAACAGTCTTGTTCCTTTAACTGTGCTAAATAGTTACAGTACCTAGTTTCTCTACATAATCATTAGTATCTTCCTAACACATCCAAATCTAAACATTTCTAGCCTGTAATCCCAGCTACTCAGGAGGCTAACACAGGAAGATCACGGACAGGCTTGAGGCTTTACTGGGCAATGAGTGAGAGTCTCATCTCAAAAACAAGAGGCGTGGGGAGGATGCGTACAGTGAGTTTCACCCGCATACCATCACAGGAAACTTCGCTAGAGGTGGGTACTCCTAGCCTCCTTTCTATTGTTTTCCTTCTTTTTTTGGTGTGGTACTAGGGATCTGAACACAAGATCTCGTGCATGTTAAGCCAGTGCTCCACACTGAGCTATTCCTAAGACCTGTTTAAACTTTTATCTTGAAGCAGGGTCTTACTGAGTTGTTCAAGCTGGCCTCAAATTTGGGATCCTCTTCCTCCCAAGCAGCTGGGATTACAGGTGTGACACCATGCCCAGTGCAGCCTCCTCTACACAAACAACTTACAGGGCCAAGTACATAGCTCAGAGGCATAAGTGCCTGCCTGGCAAGTGCAAGGTTCTGAGTTTGATTTCTGGTTCCATACCTCCCATACACAAAGCCAAAAAATAAAACAAAACAAAAACAACATACAACAATCTTGAAATAATTATTTGACAAAACTGTATCATCCACAAGCATAAGAAACCCTTACACATATTTTTAATGATAAACACATCTTGGGGCTGGGATTGTGGCTCAGTGATAGAGCTCTTTCCTTGCATGCATAAGGTCCTGGGATTGATCCCCAGCACAACAAAAATAAATAAATAAATAAATAAATAAATAAATAAATATATCTTAACACACACTGACTTTCATGGCTTATTTGAGAGCCTGTGTTATTGGCCAAATGATTCAAGACCTCAAGATGTTATTTACAGAAGCGCCATGGCTGGGAGTGTAGCTCAGTAGTAAAGCATATGACTCACATGCAAGAGGTGGATCCCTAGCACCATAAAAGAAGAAATAAAGTTCTCTAATTTCCCACATCCTCTACACATAGTCTGAGCAAGAGCAAAATGAATGTAATATTTTGCAGGCATTTCTGGAAATTCTGCTTCTGAGAATCAATGTAAGGACCTAATCACACAAAGTTCTTTCTGGCTTTCAGAAAGTTCATACATCATCGCCCAGGCTGGCCTGAACTCACAGAAATCCTCCTGCCTCAGCTTCCCAAGCACTAGGATTACCAGCGTGTGACAGCATGCCCCTCTGTAATGTATGTTTAGAGAAAGAAAGGCCATGATGGTATTGAACTGACTGGTGAGTGACAGGTGGTGCCAGGGCCAAAGGCTTCAGGACAAAAAAGCAAGCGGAAAAGAACAATGCCAAAGCACCTTGTCCATTCCAGTAGATTTAATTTCAGCGTTATCTTTCCTAAGAAAACAGATCTCAGATTAAGTGTTCTTTACCAAGAATAAGGTGATAGAATTCATCAGAGTTCTTATGAAAAACTTAAAGCATATAAAAAGAATTCCAAAACTGGAACTCACAATTCTAATGTACACTGAGAAAGATTAATTATTTTTGTAAATAACCTTCTTTACAGAATACTGTCTGTCTCTATGTTATCTATTTGGCAGTACTGGGAAGCTATCTATCTACCCATTTATTTGGCAGTACTAGGAACAGAACTTGGCTTTCTCACAGAGCTATATATCCAATTCTTTTTTTAAACTTTTGATTTTAAGACAAGATTCCAAGATATTGCTAAATTGCCCATGCTGGGCTTGATCTTGTTATCCTCTTGCCTCAGCTTCCCATATCCAGCTTTTCTGAATATTCTTTATGAAAATAAAAAACAAATTTCACAATATTATCATTACGTTTGCCATCTGGTCTCCAAGCCAGACAGGTCACTTCCTTTCCCGTATTTTCATTTGGTGGAAAACTCCAAACTCGATGAAAACTTGCAAGTCGATGAAGTAAAACCTAAAACACAACAGAAGAAAATTAAAAATTTCATTTCCAAAAATAAAATAAAGTTATATGCCTCTTTTAAGTAAAACAGCTCTCACACTGAAGAATTCAAGGGTCTACATGATTGTAAGGTATTTTAAAAGAAATGAGAAAAATCAAAAAACACCATTTAACCTTGTATCCTACACATTTCCTGTCTTTTACATCAACAGGAGACTTACCTTTCAGAAAGGAATAAAAAGGCTGTCCTAGAAACAGACAATAAAAAAGAAATAACACACACAGCCATTAAAAAGTAGCTGTGATATAAACACAAAGAATTAAACTTAGGATCAGACAACTTGGGATGTAATTTCAGTTGTGTTACTTTCTAGTCCTGGACCTTAGAGTCACTTATCCATTCTACATTTCTATTTCCACATCAGTAAATGCCACCTTGGAATATCAAGATGATGCTCTAGAGCTCCTCACACACTGAAGCTGAGCCTTCCCGCAGGCTTCTACACAACCACTGAAAACAAGGAGGTGAAGTTTCAGATTATCAGACCACTAACCTTCAATGCTGACTGGCAGTACGCTTAGGCTTTCCTGGTCCACCAGGGACATGTGCCAGCTTTTCTACCTCTTCTTTCTCTTCTCCATATCCACTTTTAGACTGGCCCTCCCTGCTGCTTAGAGAAAGTGGAAGCAACAGTGCTGCCACACCCCTGTCTGCAGATGCCCCTCTTCCCTACTTCCCCTCCCTCTGCCCTGGCCTCACGATCTGTGCTGGCTGCAGAGCGACCAGAGTTCCAGAGCATCCTGGCAGAGGACACCAGAAGATCCATGAAGGGTCCTGAAAAGCTAGACACTGTCACCCTAGCGGCTGAGTCACAGCAGGCCACAGGGCAGTGCAGTTTTGTAGGCTGCTATGTTTCCCTGACTGCTAACATTTACTTACCACCTACTGTAGTTTCCAAACTTGACTGTACACAACTTTCACCTGCTCACTATGCAGAAAACGGCCAAAAGGCCGGCAGAGGAAAGAGGCCCCGGTGAAGTTTCCTTCCAGTATTGCTGTCTGGTGATCACACTTGGCAGCAGAAAGTTGGGCACAATTTGGTGACACGTGATGACGTCTCGTAACACAATGTGAGCTGGGATGTTTGTAGTCATTTTAAAAGAAAGTGGCTATCAGACCCAGGTATAAAATCTTGGACAACAGGACGTAAAACCTTCAACCTCCTCTTTGGCAACTCCATGCATGTACACTTGCAGACAGACTTGACTATTCATCTTTATTCTGCTATTAAAGTGAAAGCAGATTTGGGACTCGTGGATCTATATTATCTATATTAGTCAGCTCATGCGCGGTGGCAGCTATGAGCTTTTAAGATACAAATCAACGAAAAAAGGCGAGAGACACAAATCAATGAATGAAAGCGACTCACAGGTGCAGGACTGCGGGATTCTGTCAAACTGTGAAAACTATTTAAGCATGTAATAGGTGAAATGGGTGTAGAAATCATATTTGACTGACAGCTTTACATTTTCACTGAGAGTCTGCAGCCGATCTGCGAGCAGGAGCGAGGCAGGTGGGGTCCACCAAGCCTGCAGAGGGGACACAGGTCACTCACCTCGCCCGCGGTGTTGGCCAAAGCAATGAGATCCCGCTTAGGCGACCAGACCAGGAAAATGATCTCCTGGGGCAACTGCTTCTCTCCCACCACCCGGAAGGACGGGAAACAGGTCGGAAAGCGCAACATGGGGACGGCCGTGCGACGACCCCCCGTGAGAGGCCGGCGGCGTCCCCGGCCACCGGGCGCTTGTGAAGAGCACCGACCGGGGCGACGGCAGCGAGAGCCCCCGCGACCAAATAGCCCCTACGCCTCTCCAGTCCCCTCCAGGGCCCTCAGCCGGAAACTTCCGGCACCGGTGTTCTCGCGAGAGGAAGAAGGTGGCAGGAAGGCGCGCGCACGGGGCGGGGCCTGGGCCTGCACGGGGCGGGGCAGTGGGCGGGCGGGCGAACCTGGGTCTTGGCGGGTGAACGAGTGGGCGGAGTGGATGCGGGAAGAGGAGGGGCCAGCGCTGGGTGGGCGGGGCGAGTGCCGGCTCGGAGATGGTCTACAGGCCTCAGGCTTGGCTTCGGGCAGGTGTCCACGCTTGCCTCGGCGTGCACACGCTTGCAGGTGTTTGCAGTTCCCCGGGAAATTCGCAGCTGTGGGGAAAGAGACTTTCAGAAGTTTAGTTTACAGGCCCAGAGATGCTGTAAACTCCTTAATAGTTATCAGCCCTGGTTGCTCAGCAGAATTAAAAAAAATAAATAATCCTCCTGTCCAGGCCACACCATAGACCAATTAAGAGAATGAATTTTAAAAATGGGACCAAGGTATTTATTTAATCTTTACGAGATTCCAGTTTGCAGCCAAGATAGGGGGTGCTGCTTAAATCTCTACTGACAGAGGCAAATACTGCTTTGATTCTGAATCCCATTTAAATGTACACCTCACAACTTACTGGAAGTAAGAAATGAGGACTGGGGACTCAGGCTGGGTTTACCCTACAGCGGGCTGAACGTTTACAATGTGAGAGGAGGAAGGCTACATAAATGCTTGCGACATGGACTTCCCTAGGCGGCTCCGGCCAGGTGGGGAGCGTGTAAATCAGAACCCATCCGCCGCTCCTTTGTGAAGAGCACACCGGAGTGTGAGCGCATGTTCAGCAGTCCCCGCGGCTCCCATCCTGCGGAGAGAACGCAGCATCCCCGGGATTCTTTCGCTTTCTGTTAGGAGTAAACAGGCGGCAGGACTTGCACCTTTCTGTGACCCGATCTCCCCCCTCTTTGGATCTGGACTCTAAGAAGTCGGTGCGGAAACAGATCCATTGTCTCAGTGACAAATGTTCAAGCAGCTGTTTAGTTCAGGCACTGTCCTTATCTGCAGACTTCATGCTCACCCTACTGCTCAGTCACACTTCTTCCTGCTTTGCTTGACCGTGCTGCAGGTAACTCTTGTGTCCCTTGCCTGTTGGCAGGCAGTGAAAAGTGCCTGGAAATGATCCAAAGTTGCCACAGGAAAGAGCTAATAACACTTAGTGTCACAATCCTTGTTCTTCGTCTGTCCTATAAAGGAGATTTTGGCTTTACCCAGTTTCTTTGCCATCTCCATCCTGAGAAAAATACCGTGTTGTCTATGATGGCCACATTTGTGTTTCTGTGGAACAGAATCAGGAGGGAAGGAGAAGGCCTGAGATCAGACAGCGGTGGTTTTAAAGGAGGGAATTACACACACACACACACACACACACACACACACACACACACACACATATGGAAGAGGGGTGGGCAAACAGAAACTAGACACGTAAGTCCATGCTTTTTCTATCCTCCTCATGTCTGAGGGGAAAAAACAATGCAATAGCTGGCTTTATAGAACAAACTTTTAGCTACTAGGCTGTTTCTATCACAGCTAGCTCACACCAGTTCCTATAGCTTAGTACATTTACCCTCTAACAGTATGGGATTTGCTCTTGGAGGGCCAAGTGGCTCCCAACAGGTTGGGAGGGAGGGGAGAATGTGACAGCATCACACTGGTTCACTGGTTATTCAGGACATGAACTCTTATGGTAAGGATGATGCATTAGAAAGAACTACCGGTGTAAAGATGGCACAAAGACTAGCTAAAGCTGGAGAACAGAGCCCCAAAGTGTTCCCGAGCAGGGCAGGAAGTGATTATTGATTAGGGTAGGGAAATGAGAAGAAAGAGCTGAGACTCTGCGGTAGGGCTGGAGAATTTGTGGTTGGCTGGGGACAGGGCTGGGAATAGTAATGTGTTCCAATGTAGACGTGGAAAGAACCTACCTTGACGGCCATCAGGCAGCTAGAAAGGCAGGCTGAAGGGGGAAAGTTGATCTAAGCAAAGATTTAAGACTCTCATGTGCAGGAAGAAAGGAGTTCTCTGGGATGTGACTGTGTGAGCCACATTCCTATTGCTGGGGCAAAATACCAGGGGAGGTTTATTTTGGTTGACAGTTTCTAGTGGGTTCAGTCCATTTTACCTGGCCCCTCGGCAGAAATGGCACAATGGAAGGCTATGACAGGGAACAGCTGCACAGTCCATGGCAGTGAGGAAAGGAACAAAAAGCAAAAGGAGGAGCAAAGGACAAGAAACACCCTTCCAGGTCATGCTCCCAGTGACCCTCTTCTTCTGACCAGGCTCCAGCTCCAAATACGAGATTTGGTGGGGGGGGACATCTTAGATCTAAACCATTCAGCCCCAAAAAGGCTTGTATTCACTTCATTATGCAATATGCATTTAGTCCATCTCTTAAGAGTCACCAAAATCTTAACAGTTCCAGCATTGCTGAAAAGTCCAGTGTCTCCTCTTAGCTGTGAGCCCCTGTAGAAATCAAACGGAAAATTAAAAACATCCAACCTACAATTCCACAGGGTAAATGTTCCTATTTCAAAAAGGGAGGAAAACAGGGATAAAAACGAATCAGATCAAAGCAAGACCAAAAACCAGCAGGACAAACATTAAACCCTGTAGCTCCATGCCCAGCACCCAGGGCAGGTTTTGTTGAGATGTGAGCTCCAAAAGGCTTAGGCAGTCCAAACCTTATTGCTTTGCTGGTTACATCCTACATGGTCTCTCTCTTGGGTTGGCTCTGCTCAATATCTGCAGTTTTTTTTTCTCAACTGATGTTCCACATTCCAGGCAACTTCTTGGAGTCTCCAGTGAACCCTGGCTTTACTCTCACAGCTTCATGCATTATGCTTTCAGGCACACTGGGAATCTGGATGGAAGCCTCCATGACCCCACAACTCTTGCAAATAGCATATTTGGAAAACCACGTGGACGATGGCGAACTCAAGTGTTAGCCAAGTCCCCTAGGACCATGGCTGCAGCTGCGTCTGAGTGCTTAGATGGCTGAACTCAGGGATGCACTTCCATAGGTAGTTATGAATGAGCAGGAAACCCTGTGATAGGCCAGACCCCACCTATTTCCTGTATAAGTACCACATGCTAACTGCTTGCATCACTAGTCCTGGTGATTTCCTGGTATTCTCTAAAAGAATCTCTCCTGATGTCTTGATGCAAAATGCTTGGCTTCTTCTGAATGTCAATCTTTTCACCAAATATGCTCTGCTTAGCGCCAACTTTACAGGTGCTTTGTTTCTGGCCAAGCTGCAAGTTTTCATATCATTCTGCTCTGCTTTTTGCTCCTGATTCTAACTGCAGACCAAGCTAAAAGCAGCCAGTAGTATCCCTGGTACAGCCTGCATAGTGGAATACCTTGAAATTTCCTCCACTAGATAAACTAGGTTACCATCTTTAAATTTAGCCTTATATAATGTCTTAATACAAGGACAAAAAGTAGACAAATTCTTTGCCAGCATGAAATACACATGGCCTCTAGTCAACTTTCCAATGTAATCATAATTTGCGTTTGAAACATCCTGATCCTGGCCTTTACTTTTCATTCATATTAGCATTCTGGTCTCCTAAGCGCCACCAGAATGACCCATCAAGCTTGACTTACAGTTTCTCTGGATAGTCTTTCTAAATCTTTCCAAACTCCTCCCAAAAATCATTTCCTAAGACTTCTAAATCACATGGTAATTAATGTAGTCACCACAATTGTCTCAATTCTCTGGTACCAATTTTCTATATTAGTCACTTTCCTGTTACTAGGACAAAATACCTGACACCCATAATTTTAAAATGTTTATTTTGACTCATGGTTTTGGTAGCTTCGGTCCATAGTTAGTTGGTTCCAAGGCAGAAATGACGTGGTAGAGGAAATCTGCTGTATCCATAGCAGCCAGGAAGCAGAGAAGGGAAATCTGGGAACAAGAATACACACTTTCTGGTCACATTCCCAGTAAACCTGCCCCTTAAACCAGGTCCTAGTAATGAAAACAAGACTTTTGGGGCAGACTAGACTTAGAACAACAGTGACTACTTCAGCCCATTGAAAGACTTATTCTGAAATTACAGAATAGGTAAAGATATGAGATATGCAAATTATTACACAAAAATGTGATAATTGATGTTAGGACATTTTTTTCTACCATAATTATATTCATTGGGCGCACACACAAAACTTGACTCAATCTGCCAGAAGTAGGAGTGCTGGGGGGTGTAATTCAATAGTAGAGAACTTGCCTAGCATCAGTGAGACCAGATGTTCCATCACTAACACTCAACAAATAAAACAACTGGCACACATAGTCACTACCATGTATATGTATTACCTTATGTACATTAGAAGTGCAGCAGTGGGGAAAACTTCAGGATACGCTGAATCCAGCATCATCAAGTCTTAAGGCTGGCTGCTCCTGTAGCCACTGGAAGACTATCAACAGCAGCTGGAGATGTGTGCTTGCTTCTCAGCAAGAGAATGAGACAAAACTAGGAGACACAAACCTTGAGCTGCATTGTAATTAGACTCACCCCTATCACAAGCCTATAAATCACTGTAAGTCACAGACTTTGATTGGTTTAGGGTGATAAAAAAAACCCTTGTCACGAGTGACAGCATGTAAATCACCCTCTCACTCCCCTCCCATGGTTCATGATAGGCTAATGTTGTGGAATAGTGTTGCTGAAGGAATCACAATGGTCAATATATCAACCCCAAAGACTGAAGGGAATAGCTTTAAATATGACCCATTTTACAAGATGGGAAATGCCCCATCTGGCAAGCTAAGGCTAAATTATATGGATTTATGGTATTTTTGTCTTTGTCCCTGTTGTGGATTAACAACTAATGACTGACATGTAACAGCTGGACTGAATCAGCATGGTTCTGGCTGTGGAAGGCCGGCCTGAGGATTGTTACCAACAGCATAAAGCAGAACTGGGGGGGAAGATGGTGTGCTGTTGATTCTCCTGGAGAAGCTTGTCATGCTGGCTTTCCTGATACCAACGTGGCAGCTCCCACTGTTGAAG